TGTAAACATGTTATAGACATTTAGTTTAAAATTTTATCTATATCATAATATAATATTAAATGAAAACAAAATATGCGTAAATTATATCAGAAGGTAGTAGGTATATATTATATAACCTCTGAACAATGATAATTACGATATCAGCACATTAATAATAATAATTTATTCTATTATTACCTATACACACAGTAACTATATGACATATGTGTAAATATGTATTTTCTCATTGAAAATGAAAACAATGATGATAGAAGAATAGATGGTAAATATTAATATAATATAGCATAGAACAATAATAATAGATAATAGATAGGTATACTATAATAATATTATTTATTTAAGTAGGTATGTCTATTGACATTTGACTATATGCCTAACTAAAATGTTGAAATTCTGTATAGAATACAGACATACAGTACGTCAGTACCTACCTATAGGTCCGTTAGCCCAGCATTGCTATGTACAAAATAAAGTATAAATACCATAGAATAATACTGAATAAATCTTAGTAATTAAATACAAATTACAAATTCGTGATTTCAATAGATGTTTGATGACTACGAAATGCACGGGTCAGCTATAGTGGTATATAAATATATAATTTATGTGATATAACATATTAACATATGAATATGTGAATTTGTGAAATATTGGGTAAAATACGGACAAAATAAGTATTAGACAAAACCGCCCACAGATTTTAAAATACTGAATATAGTGAATATCCTATTAGGCATTATTGCACACAAATGTCGTATATTTTTCACACGACAAAAAAAGGCATAATTCGTTTTGACTTTAGCTTATTTTGACGTAACACATACATTTTTATTTTAGATTCTGAGCGGGGCGACAAATATATTAATTTTACAATAATGTAAGTTTTTAAAATTTTTTTAAATATTTGTGTCTGTGTAGGTACACGATAAGTAGTAGGAATATATTGCTTCAACTTTCACTTCAGTATCTTGTTAGATGGGAAAGTGAATCTAGTTGGTGGATTGGGGAGGTCAAAATTCAAAATGTCCACTGTTCAGTAGAGTTTTCAAACTGGTTATACAATGATATATATTTTTAGATTCTGAGTGAAACGATGAATGTATTGATTTTACTATGATGTGTGTGTGTGTTTTTTTTTTTGTATCTGTCATCACGGTTGAGGGCAGTAAAACTACTTCGATTTTCTTCAACAGTATCTTGTTCGACGGGAAAGTGAATGTAGTTGGTGCATTCGGGAGGTCAAATTTTAAAATTCCCAATAGTTTTTAAAAACGCCGGGTAAAATAACATAAAAAATAAGGGAAAACGGGAATTTTAACTCAAAATCGGTTTTCCACAAAATTGATTTTGGTTTTTGGTTTAACTCTAAAACAAATGAACTTATATATATGAAATTTTCACTGGTAGTTTATATTTGCATTTTCTATACACGATAAAATTTTCAAAATATTTTGATTTGTTTGAACTGTTTAAGAACATTTCCAGTTTCCAATTGTATTAGTCTTTTTTTCTATGAATGTCAATATAACTATATTTGTTAGGTAAAGAAGCTTAAAAATTTAATACAAGGCTCTTACTATATTGTTACAATAGTAGTTTAAAAAGATTAAAAATTCTTGGTCACAGTTTTTTTTTATAAGCATTTAAAGTTCAAATCTTGACAAAATACGGAAAAATCACGAAAATTAGCAAATTATCTTGAGTTGAGAATTCATAAAAATTTTCTTTTTAAATCTAAGGTTTTATAAAGTGTTGCTATTGGGTGGCTTCTTTTTTCAAGCATCGCATGTCAAATAAATCAATGAATATCCGCATACATGCTTATTGTAAATTTAAATTACAGATTGTATGTTTTTAAAATAAAGTTAAAAAAAAAAAATCTAAGATTTGAACATTTAATACAAGATTACTCATGAATGAATCTACCTTTATCAAAAAAAAAAAAAATGTCAACAATCAAATCAAATTAAATTTTTATGAGCGGTTTTGTTATTTTATTGTTATTCAAAAGCAATTACCTGTAGATACATGAAAATTTTACTGAATGTTTGTATTTTTATTTTCTTTACACCAAACAAATTTAAAAATACTTTGATTCTTTTTGAGCTGTATACAGACATTGTCAGTTTTCAATTTTCTTAGTTTTTTATTCTATAAATATCAATAAAATTTTATTTGTTTTGTAATAAGTGTGAATATTTAATGCAAGGCTCCTGATGTATTGTAACAATAGCAGTTGAAAAATATTAAAAATAGGTAGGCAAAATTTTTTTTTATAAGCATTTAAAGTTCGAATTTCGACAAAATGTATTACATTTAAAATTTAATAATTATTTTGTAGTTAAAAATGTAGAAAATGTTCAAATTTTATAGCTAAGGATTGAAAATTTAAAATAATGGTCCACGAAAATAGGTAAATATATAAATTACTTTATTCACAATAATATCATAAAATATATACTTATAGTAATATCATAGGCTTATTGACCGTTTTCGATGAGAATCGTTTTTCTTATACAATGATATTAATATATTATATCATTGAATTTAAATTTATCACCATCCATTACAGTGACCCACTTTCTTTTTTAGTCTGTCATTACCATTTAGGACAATAAAGCTAAGATATTAGATAGGACAGTAAACTTAGATTTTCTTCAACAGCATCTTTTCTGATGGTTAAGTGATTTTAGTTGGTACTTTGGGGGGTCAAAAGTAGAAAATACCCAGTAGTTTTTAAAATTGCTGGGAAAAACAAAAATATTTTAAGGAAAAATTGGAATTTTTACGCAAAATCGGCTTTTGACAAAATCGATTTTTGGTGTAATTCTAAAACAAATGACCGAGCGTAGATACATGAAATTTCCACTTAAATTTTATATTAGCATTTGCTATACACCATAATATTTTCAAAATATTTTGACTGGTTTTGAGCTGTTTACAGACATTTAGTTACCGTTTCCAATTTTTTAGTTTTTTTTTTATATAAATAAAATTCAATGAAATCTTTGGGTAAAATGTTGAGAATATAATACAATAGACTCGTAATATATTGTTACAAAAACAGTTGAAGAATATTAAGAATACAGTCACAATTTTTTTTTATATGCATTTATTTTAAAGTTTTAATTTTGACATAATACGTAAAAATCACAAAATTGTGCAAATTATTATGAGTTAGAAATTCATAAATTTTTCTTTTTAAATCTAACGTTGGAAAATTGTACTAGCAAGATTATACCTCATTAGTTCGTCTACCTTTATTTAAAAAAATATCTACCGGAAAGTCAAATTAAATTTTTATGAGCGTTAGAAGTTAAAAATTTTTCAATATTGGATATTCACTCGATTTCTCATGTAACAATTTTTTTATATTGTTGTAATTCAAAAACGAACAACCGTCGATTATACTTGAAATTTACATCATATGTTTATTTCATCAATTCCTATTCTTGATATAAAACTTTCAAAATATTTTGACTTGTTTTGGTATGTGTTTACTGCAAACATTTTAAATATTAAATTTTTTTAGTTTTTTTCTATAAATAAAATTGTCTTTGTTGGGTCAAAAATCTTGAAAATTGAATACAAGGTTCCTGTTATATTGTTACAATAACAGTTGAAAAATATTAAAAATGCATAGACACAATTTTTTTTTTGTAAGCAAGTTTGAATTTTTACAACATTTAAAATTTATTTTGTAGTTAAACATTTATAAAATGTACCTATCTAAGGATTGTAAATTTAAAACAAGGTTCCTCGTAAATAGGTAAATAAATTACTTAATTTACAATAATATCATCAAATATACTTATAGTTATATCATAGAGAATGATAGCTGACACGTCCGTCTATACTCTCAGAATAATTTTTTGCATATCTACAATGATGTTATATATCATTGAATTCAAATTTAACTGCACCATCCATAACAGTGACCCGCTTGATGCTTGTAACCTACTGTACAGCATGAGCGACACCCTACTTTCCCACCTTTATTAATTTAAATTCCAATTGGATCGTGTATTTTGATATTTAGATTATATTATAGGCATAACTTTATAGGTCTATCGTCTATGGTTATAGCCTATTTAGGTATGTACAATGCTTGTGGATAAAATAAATTGTATAATCCATTTTTATTTTTTAGACATATTTTGTTAATAATATCAATAGTATTTTACCATGTTTTCATAGAAGTAATTTTATCTTAATAGAAATTGGTTAATAGGTTTTACAGTATTACGGATGACTGATTTTGTCATATAATATATATCACAATGGTTCCTAAGTCCAAACTATTACAAATTGTAATATGTCATATAATCATATATATTAGGTGATATTATATTATATAGATATTGTGGTAATATACTAATATATAATATGATAACATGGCGCGCTCGCGGTGCGTACACACACACACACACACACACACACACACACACACTAGTCGTTAAATGTCGGAGCGTACATATTATTAAATGTTAGGTATATTTATTTATTAAAAAAACAGGCCAAAGTATGCCATAAATATACTAAATTAAATCAATTTAAACAAATAATTATTATTGCGACAACAATTAATATTTTATCAATTGTCAACAGAAAAATAAAGCGGTTATTAATATTTTCTATTAGGAAGGGGCATAATTATATGCGATAGTATGGTTGTTATCTATATGATATTATGATCTATGAGATCTTCAAAAAGAACTGGAAAATCTCCTTCATGGCTTCATTAAGTGTTGGTCACTAATCAGTAATAGTGTATTGTGGCCAAGAGATATTCGTAGTTCGTAAATGATCAGGGTTTATAAAATATATTAGTACTTGATAAATTCATTGTTTTGAAATTGTGTTAATAATAGAACAATTTAAAATTATGTTTGTACAAATCAGTATAAAATAAATTCACATATCTATACTTACTTATTATTATAACTTGTGTTCTTATTGTAATCAGAATAGGTTTATCCGAGATAATTTATAATTAAAATATGAATATATCGTTTTCTGGATGTGGATTTTTAGGCATATATCATATAGGGGTAGCATCATGTTTAAAAACTTACGCACCATACCTTTTGGAAAACAAAATTTGTGGCTCGTCAGCAGGTGCCATTTCAGCATGCTGTCTACTTTGTGACATACCTCTGGGTAAGTTTTTGGATATTTACATAAATTTAAGCCGATATGACTGTATGAATTTTGAGTATATAAGTACCTATATATTATACGACTGCAGGGTGACTGACCATTAGGTACTCAGTTGCCGTATATGATTGTATGATACTATGACTCATTTTTCATTAATAATTATTATTTATTACTTATTAGTACAATTTTTATGTCTCTCTTATCTCCTCGTCAACAATTTGTTCGGTCAAAAACTGGAAAATCTAATACAACGGTCTTTATAAGTTGTTCTTAGTGGAAATTGAAAAAAAAGTAGAGCGTAAATCAACAATATTTTTTTATGAGCTTCTAAAGTTAAAATGTTGACAAAATTCATTAAAACCACGAAAATTGGTAAATTATTTCGAGTTAGATATTCCAAAAAAAAATTCACAAAATTCCCCTTAGGTTTTCCTACAATTAACATAAAAAAAAACTTTATTTGAAACTAAAATTTTTAAAATTGTTACTTATATTCACCCTTAAATTAACAAATTCTCACCCAACGCTTTTCTTATTTTGTTGTTATTCAAAAACTATTAACTCTAGGTAGGTACTTGAAATTTTCATAAAATGTTTATTTTATTATTTTCTATACATGATAACATTTTAAAAATATTTTGACTCGTTTTGAGTAATTTATAGACATTTGAAATTTGAAATTTTTAGATTTTTATTTTATATAAAATTCAATAAAATGTTATTTTTTAGGTCAAAAAGCTTGAAAATTGAATACAAGGTTTCTTTTAAGTTGTTATAATATCAGTTGATAAATATTAAAGATCCATATAGGCACGATTTTTTTTTGTAAGTATTTAAAGTTCAAATTTTGACAAAATTTATCAAAATTTCGAATATGTATTTATTTTGTAATTAAAAAATTATAAAATGTTCAATTTTTATAGCTAAGAAGTGAAAATTAAAAACAAGGATTCTCATAGATAGTTCATAGTTTATACTGTAACCAAAAAATCTAATATATAAATATAGCATTAGCAACAACATTTTTTATATTCATTTTAAATTCAAATTTGGATGAAATTACATATTAAAACCAAGAATAACGATTTATAGTTATTTTTTTGTAATTTAAAAATATTATTCGTGGGTATATGACATTTTTAGAGCATAATTATTATTATATTTTATACATACAATTATGACATTTTCAAATGGAATTTTTCTTATCAAAAATTAATTTAACTTAATGTTGATGGTTGTCACACCCGCATGTGTTGCCTCGTCTTACAAATGTACAACATAGCTAAAACTGTTTTGAGCGGGACAACTTTTCTCTCACCATATTTATTGTAGAACTGGTAATTTTCACAACAAAGAAAAACTTTATCTGTGCAACAGCGTGCTTTTTTTAATAGTACTACCCAATCATTTTTTATAAGCAAATGAAAAAAAACAAAAAAACAAATTTAGAATTTGTTTAGAAGCAAATAACTTTTATTGTATTTATGGTATCTAAAATATATGCACTCTGTTGCATAGATAATTTTCTACAACAGTTTTTGCTATGTTGTACATTTGTAAGATGGAGACAACACATGGGGGTTTGACATGCTCTTAATGCCTAATAGAAAAACAAATTACTTTAATCACAATAATATCACCAAATAAACTTAGTAATATTACTGCAGGCTGCAGACCGTTTTTGCTCATAATCGTTTATAATGATTTTATATCATTGAATTCAAACCAACCATACAGTGACTATTGTAACCTACTGTATAGCGGAGCGACACCCACTTACTTTTTTTTTTTCAAAATTATGTTGATAAGTTTTGAGACATTTTTTCTTTTGATCCTCTAAAAGTACCAACCAAAACCGCGAACTTCGAAGTCGAAGACCAGTTTTTTATGTTCTGTAGAATGTGTATAACGCACTATAATGTAACTAACCTACAGATACAGAAAAAATAAACACGAAACACTAAAACCTCTTAGAATCTATAAAAATAATTAATATATATTATTTTATATTAAATCGTTGTCCTTATAATTTTTAGTGCCCACTTTCGAAGCGAATTTTAATAAAAGTGCCCAAACACTGAAACACTATTACACACAGGTAATAGGTTAGTATTACAAGGTTAGGACTATATTTTGCCTAAAGGACGGGTGTCGGGCTATACGAATATCACCCATTAATTAAAAGTATCTACCTACCTATAACGTAGGTAAAAAATTTGCACTGGACGCTGGTCATCATTAAACGACTTTAATAAGAAAACTACCTATGTAACATAGTTTCATACCTACCAATACTGCTTTCATGTAAGACAATTTAAATTCTCATAAATCCTAACATATTATGTACTAATGTCTTATTGTACTTACTACTTACCTATAGTTTATATACCTACGGGATACGACCTATCCTACTTATAACTTATTAGTTGTTATAGTTATAATAGGTACCTACGTACTAATCCATCATGACCACAGTAGGCTAACTTAGGGGGGTTCTAAGGGGGGCTTAGCAAGATCTTTTTCGTGGTTTTTTACATATATTATGCAGAACACATTTCACATTCTGCATTTCTGCTAGATAGTAGTATAGTACCTAGATCTTTGCTCAATATTGTTATCAGCAGTAATTTGTGTACTTTGTGTATATTCTTATTTTTAGAATTGATGACTAGTCAAATGTTAGATATCGTAAGAGAATCGAGATCAAAAGCATTAGGTCCATTTAGTCCATCTATGAATATCACAGAACATTTATACAATCGTCTAAATAAGGTTCAATAACTTTTCGTTTTTTAAAATATTTTTAAATAAGATAAATTAAATAAATTAGATGTTTTTTCCTTGTAGGACTTACCTGATGATGCGCACAAGCGAGTAAGTGGTAAATTATTTGTGTCCCTAACAAGAGTTCCGGATGGCAAAAATGTCATCATGTCTCAATTTTCTAGCAAGGAAGAAGTGATACAGGTAAGAAATTTAAATTTACCTGCTATACAAGACGATTCTTTTAAAATTAAACAAGCACTCATTTTCGACCAGCAGTATTAACGTTTTAAAAAATATTCTTTTGCATAATTTGAACAGTATTACAAAATACAAATGTATTAATTTATTAATATTGTTTACCTACTATTCTTTTATTGTTATCATTTTTAAAAATTATTTTTTTTGGAATGACCGTGCACATTTGAAATTTTATATCTAAAGTAGAATATTTTTCTGAGAATTTTAATACGTCAAAGAGGCTAATGAGGAGTTAGGTACCTAGTATAGTTATTACTTATAAGTTACCTATAACTTAAAGGTATTTGATAGGTATTTTAAATGTTGACACTTTGACAGGTAGAATATACAAACTATGAGTAGGTACCTACAGTACAGTCAGTAGTCAGTATACTACAGTACTAAGCTACTAAATGTTTTGCCGGGTAGTATCCCTGTCTATGTGCCATTAAACATTTCCATAATTCCTCGCTTTTCATCTGAACCTAAAATAAAAAAAAAATTATTCAATTTTGAGACTCCGAGCTGTGTCTGTTTGCACTTTGTCAGTACCTACCTACTATATCTACCTACCCACGACTCACCTGGTATAATTATTATTTATTATTATTCTAATTTCTAAGTCTAACCTATGATTTATATTAATAATGACTACCAAGAGAGTGTGCTTTACTCTTAAATTTGAATAATAAGATATTTCAAACTGGAAAATAATATCTCAATATTGATGCATTTTGTTTTTCAGGTATTATTAGCTAGTGCTTTTATTCCAGTATTTTCTGGATTTGTGCCACCTTTGATTGGTAAATACAGGTATATTGATGGTGGATTTACTGACAATTTACCTATAGTTGATAAGAATACCATAACTATTTCACCATTTAGTGGTCTTACTGATATTTGTCCCCGTGACAACCCTATTAAAAAGTATTTAGTAAGTATTTTTTTTATTCTATTTAACTATCATAGGTATTAGTAGTCTTGTAAAGTATCTATATGCTAAATACAACTTTACTGGCTCATCCTACAACGTATTGTTTCATAGGTATCATAATTAAAGAATTAACAATCTATATACAACTCATCAGCCATCACAATTTAAAATATAATATAATATATTTAAACCCATAGATGTTGGTCAAGCGTTTGATCGGGTATTGCACCTAGGCCTTATATTTTCTTCTTCCAATCCTATCTTAATAACCGATTTTTTGTTACAAAAGTAGGCACTGAAATTATGTAGTCAATTGCCCCTATTCTAGCTGGTGTCCCCCAAGGTTCTATTTCCTCTCCCTTCCTATATAACTTGTGCACAGCTGACCAACCAACTACCCCATATACTTCAGTTGTTGAATTTGCAGACGAAAAAATTATGAACCTTTCTCAAAATGATATAAACACTGTTAAATTATACTTACGAAACCACCTAAACAGTCTATCTTCCTGGTATATTAAATGAAAAGTAAAAATTAACAAAATTTAAATATAAAGTGTAACCGCTGGGTTACTTCTATTTTCATGTAACACATACATGTCATGTTTATCTAAGCCAGTCCTGTAAAGAATACTTTTAAAAAGTATTTAAGATACTACTCAAATACTTTAATTGTATAGTATTTCAAATACTACTCAAATACTTTGAAAAAGTATTTGGAATACTTAACAAATACTTTTGGTTTTTAAAGTAGGTTTCTAATTATCGTAATATAGACACATAGGTAGTAGGTTTATAATAATTTTTATTTATTATTTATTAAATAAATGTTTATTACATTTTAAAAACATAATGTATTCAAAATTTTTATCAGTCATACTGCTTCTCATTTTGGTCATGGTTGCTCCACCCATGCTAAATACCCGCTGACTTAGCAGCGGAGTATTAAATTTAATAATCTATATTATTCCCGTAATCCCGCATAACCATTAAGGCAGGTATTGTATCTGATATTATCAACAGTTATCTAATAATTCAAAGGGAATATTGTAATTCAATAATTATTTTTAGAAATCTGGTTTTCACAAACTTTCGGGCTTCGGCTAACACAGAAATACAGAATACCTAACTATTATTCTATTATTGTATTGGACAATAATATTTTTCTAACCAATTATTTCGAATAAAAATAAAATGTTCCAAATAAAAAAACCAAAGTATTCAATGCAAACAAGTATTTAATACAAAAAAAAGTATTTAAAATACCATTCAAAATACTTCATGCTGAAAGTATTTAAAAAGTTATTCAATACTTAAAAAATTATTTGAATACTTTTACTCAAATACTTTACAGGACTGATCTTAGCATATACTCTTATTGTAAATCGAGTTTTACAGATTGAATACCTATATTAAAAATAAAAACAGATAAAAAAATTTAAACCCACGATAGATTATAATAACTTATTACTTGTGATCACTTAAGTTATGCATACTTTGTTCATTGTCCTATTTAATATGTCGTGTAACATAGGTACTAAAATTAATATGTTATGATTTATGGATTATGATACCTATCTATTTATATTATTCTGGTATTATTCTTACTTGATTATTATTAAAAATATTGTAAATGTATTTAGGTATTTATTTTCAATTTTAAATAAGTACTTAACTAACTAAATAAGTTTTTAGATGCTTGCTAAATTGTGTTATCAAGGTTTTGATGATGCTCTAATATTTTTGCAAAAAAATAATCTAATTAATTGTAAAATGTGTTTAATTCGGCGATATGCTTTTATATTATCCAAGAATAATATTTATGACATGGCTGGCTACAACCCTTCATGTATTGATTGCAAATGGAATAATGCTGTAAATATTTTTATCAAAGTTAATAAATAAATGGATGTATCTTATATTTTATTTTATAATATGTTTTTAGTTTGCCAAAGTACAAGGAATGCCATACTTCATCACATATACTTTAGACAGATACATTGACTCACATAATACCATTTTCAACGGACTCTTAAAATCTAAAGGAATGCTATTAGTAAAATTATTCACCCAACCTTACATAGCTATGGCAGATTTAGCTTGTGAATTTGTATTCAAGTAAGTTTTTCTCGTAACAAATTATATAGTTAAGTTTTAAAAAAGTATACAATATACACGTATAAATGTATAATATAAGAATACATATTTTTAGGGTTATTCGTTCTTCTAGACATTTTCAAAAACCTATGTGGACATTATCCAAGTATGCTATAAATAGTTTATTGCATTTTATTGATATTTTCAGTGAAAAAGGCTTAGAATTTATTGACAAAATATTATCCTACAGTTGTATGCCAATCGAAATTCATGGAAAAGGTAATAAAAGAATCTTTTGAATTTCTAAATAATACATATACCTACCTAATATCATTATTTGTGTTACATAAATATTTATACCTACCCACTAATTTTCTTTTTAGATTCACCTTATTATTATTATTACAACAAAAGGCATGAATATAAAAAGTGTATAAAATGTTCACAAAATTGCATAGAATATTTTATTAATTACAGTCTTACAGCTTCATCTATAACTATGTAAGACATTTGGATATATATATATTTATTTAAGTAATTAATTTAATGAATGAAATGAATGAATTTAAAATATTTTAATTTATATAACATAATATAAATAAATTAGAAAATCTCACTCTGCGAGTGTGTTAAAATCCCGGTTTATGATGGTATTTTAATACATTGTAATAAACTATATTTCCATAGACAAATTAAAAAAAAAATTAGTAACCTTCAAATTTTTATAATTGGTACATTATTTTTAATATTTGTCATAGTAAAAATAATTTATTTGCAATAATAATAAATATAATACATAATAGGTAAACAATATTTGAATTTATTAGTATACAATATTGCAACATTGAGCATATCTTAAAAGCTAAGCTTGTGATGCTGGAATGAATCTATATTAAATACTAATATTTTTATACTTATTTTTTAATTCTACCTAGTTTGGAATTTACTTTGAATTTTATATTTTATATTTCAATAATAGAATTTTTATCTTTTTTTCTGAAAGAAAAGTGAATCAAGTTGGTATTTACTTTTGAGAGGTCAAAATTAAAAATTCCCAGTAGTTTCATAAAAGCGTCGGGAAAAACAAAAGAAGGAATTTTTTATAAAATTGATTTTTTTTTTATGCCTTAACTCAAAAACACGAAGACACTTGAAATTAAAATTTAAAAAAAATGTATACAAGGGTCCTCATACGATACCTATTCAAAAATATTAAAGATACATAGGCACGAGTATGTTTTTTTTATACATTTAAATCTATAATGTTGACAAAATTCTTTAAAATATGCAAATTATTTTTCGGTTAGAAATCAATAAAAATTGTTCCTTTTGTAGCTAACATGAAACATTTTAATAGAAGGTTCCCCCCAAGTTTTTCTACTTTTATCATGAAAAAAAAGGTTACTGGGAAGTTCCATTCATATTTTATGACTGTCTGAATTTAAAATGTTTAAAATATTTGATATTTAGCGGTAGGTACCTCAATTAACGTATTCCCATTAATCGGTTATTGATATTTGTTGTAATTCAAAAATGAATAACTGTTGATACTTGAAATTTTCCCCAGATATTTATATTAGAATTTTCTATACATGGTAAAATTTTCAAAAATTGATCACTCTTTTTGAAGTATTTTTTTCTAATTTTGTGAATTATTCTTCAGAAATTCTTAAATTTTTTTTTTCATTAGTAATTCTAATAGAAGATTCCAAACTAGTTTTTCTACTTTTATAACCATAGGATATTTTAGATTTAAATTAATTTTCTTTTAGTTATTAAATTTTATTATTTTTACAAGTATGCTAGTATGACTTTCGTATTATTTATCATTGAATTAAAATATAACACATCCATCATAATGACATGTTCTACAATTTTATTATTGTACAGCAGAACAGTACCCACTTGTCCACTTTTTATTTATTCAACTGTAATATCACAGATTCTGTGGTAGCATTAAAATGTTTATAGTGATAACTGGATAAGTCTTAATTAAATATATTTCTAGTTATTTGTTTTAAAAAATGAATACTAATATTAAAATGAAAAAAACAATATAATGAAACCTAACTCATATTAACTGGTTATAATTCTATAGAAAAAAAAATCAAATTTAAGACATACCTATATAATATTATACACTCTGATTTCTACAAAAGCGCAGGAGTGCCTCCCAAATTATAGAAAATGTTTTTCTTTACAGAAATTGTATCAGATATAGCAAATATTGAAAAATATTTTCTATAATTTTGGGTGGCACTCCTATGCTTCTATAGATTTCATTTAACATTATGTAAAGGAAATATAATAATAATTCTGTACCTTTTATTTAAATTGCTTTTATACATAAATATTTTTTAGAGATTCTAATGGTTATACATCATCTCAACTGTCTAAACTTAACTTGCATGGTCATCAAATTAAATCTACGGGGACTGAAAAACATTGTAATACAGAATGGGAACTGTCTTTAATCTCAGAAACATCAACGTTAGTACACTTAATTAACTATAACATTTTGATTGAAAGTTATTTGTTATTACCTATTATATTCCTATAAAATGCTTTAAAACTTATTTTTACTAATTTTTTTAGTGAAATTGCCGCTGATGAAACTTTAAATAGGTACTACAAGAGTTGGATTATCTGAATACCTTGATAAACTTAAAATACATGTTTTACCTATATCCTATAGATGATTTATTTGATATTTTTGTAGCACGAGTAACTTATCAAACAATTTTATTGACATATATACAGATAGTTTGAATACCTAGTACCTACCTATGGCAACTATAACTTAATATAGGTAATTTTTTTGTTCACATATAGGTTCCTAATTTTTGTATTTCAATTACTATTTAATTAGTGCACTTGCTTATCTTTTATCATTAATACTATACTATTATATATTAAATATTAAGTGTATTTTGTTCAGATAGAATTTATTAACACTTGTGAATTTTGAATACCAAACCTTAATTACACGTACCTATTGGATATTATTGAAGGTCCTTCATTTTATTGGTCAGTTAAATTCATTGCAATCAACATATATTTTGCTGCATTCTTGAAAAATATTATATTATTTAAATTAGTCACAAATAACTTTTAAAGACCTGTTTTTTATTTTTTACATTTTTATACCTATATATTTTATTTATCTAGTTCGTAATTTATTTTGAATATCAACTAACTAATTTGTTTTTTTTTTGTTTTCATTCAATAATTTTAAGATTATTTAGTGTCATACTTGTTTTGTTGTTTAAAAACATGTATGTTTACTTAAAATATTCTAATTATATTCTTATTAACTAACCATTCTTAGTAAAACACTGAATAACAACATTTAGTTATGTATTAAAATTAAATTATTTATACTAGTTAAGACTTTCAACATAATATTTGATTAAAACAATTACCTAATATTGTAACTACTACACCAGTGGCAAATTTTAAGGCGGTGGGGTTGACATGGCGGTTTGCTTATTGGGGAGGTGTTAACTGTTAATTTTAATGTAATATTGATGTGTAGTACTGTTTATTAACAAATAAATAAAATTAATTGATACAAATAAGTTGTACCTACTTATGGATATTTAAAAATACATTTGTACAATACTTCAATTTTATTTATAAGACTGAAGTTAATTATGTATGAACGCCTTATGTCTAATCCGTTTTAAGCTATTAGTTGAGTATAGGTACCTAGTTTTATATTTAGAGTCCTAAAACCGAACCTATCTAATTTTGATTGGGTTAACTTGTCTTGATATCCTTGTCTATATATCAATATATCATAGAAAATGCAGTACCTAATTACTTAATACTCAGTAGTCACAAGAAACAGAAATCAAATCTTGGTGAGTATTCAGTGTTCATCATCAAAATATATGACACACCGTAGAAAGGAAGTGCCTGTGGAAATGACTGACTATGCCACCGCCATCGCGTATTATATACATTTGTACACATTTAGCCTACTGTATGTCAGTAATTTTCTATTTACTTATAACAGTTATAACCTATTAAGATTTCGATCGGAGTCAATTCCGATTATCAACAGTTCGGTTTTTGTCCGATGAAATATAAAGGCTCAGTCAAACCGAGAGCGGACTGTCATGGTGTACGGGTACGCTGACCGCGGCCGGCAGTGGTCCGGTTGTATAATTTTAAAGTCCGCTTTCTGTTTGACTGAGCCTTTAGTGCATAAGTGCATAACATAGAGCATAATAAAATTAAGGGATATGTACAACTACACGTCAAGTCATAACAAACGTAACTATAAAAAAAAAAGGTTAGGTTAGGTTAGTTACATAACCTTTATTGTCCTATGGCCTATGGGCTATAGCGGTAATTGGGTAATTAGAGAAGAGAGCACGATGTAGACGTTTTTTATAATATTACAGAATGTCAGAATATAACAATAATAGAGAGAGTGGACTGTGCACATTGCTCATATGGAATAAAGTCGTCAGTGTATAGCTGGACAGGCTGTACAGCTATTGTGTTTTAGTAAATGTAATATATAGTTTTAGTATTGTTAGATTGCTTGGTATTTATTGTTCCTATTCCAATCGTTAAAATAATATAGTTAACACGTTATATTATGTTTTTAATTATTAAAATGCCTAAAAATAATAATGCTAAAAATAAAATTATCCCAAAATAATATGAAAACAAACTTACGCTGAAACATCGACTCTTCTGGTGAAACCTAGCCAGAGTGCAATTGCAAACGTCGAGTAGGTACGTGACGCCACCGAAGAAACAGCTATCTATCTATCCTATCTTCATCTCGTTCCGAACTGTAACTTGAAATTATCGAAATATTTTATGAAAATTACCTGAACATAACGAAATGTGCGAATTCGTGTTAAAACTTACATTATAATATATACTGCTTAACGAACTATCTGTATATTATATTGATGGCTTATTATTTTTTTTTCACTAAAATTATTAGAATTGTTAATCGTCATTTGTCGCGGACGAATATCGACAATTGGCGATTGCCATAGATGATATAAAATATATTTTTTAATATGATAAATCCATAGAACTTCTACACTCAGCACATAAACGGTCAATTGATAAATCGTGTGTTATTTTACAGAAATGATTGTGGTCTGCAATGTATTCTTGTTTTCTAGCTATTTCAGTTATTTAGTTAAATTTTTACCTACAAATTTATAAAAAAAAAGTGATTGGGACAAGGAACTTTATGAATTTTAAACTGATAAATTATTTACAAAATAATTGTCTCATGACTATAAATAGCTCAAAAAGAGTCAAAATAGTTTGAAAATTTTCCCATATATGGAAAATTCAAGTATAAATATTATTTAATTTTTTTGTTACAGGTGGAAAAACTTATGTAACTTCTTCTATCTAGACACGCGGTAGCGTGTCAAGCCAAGTTCTAGCTAACAGAACTGGCGAGCAGCACCGTGTGTAATATTACACGAACCATTTGTAGCCACTTTTGACCCCCTCATAACTCAAAAACTATTCCACATAAACATGTCAAATTTGGCTCATATATTGAGACTAACGAGATACATATGTGCTCTAAATTTCATAAACACACTTCAAACCGTTATTTAGATATTAACGTCCGAAAATCGTCATTTTTATCACTGACTTACCTATAGATCAAAATTCTAACCCAGTTCCAGAAGACCTAGAAAGTTCAAATTTGGCATACAGATAGGTAGTTAGGTAAATACAAAGGAAAAAATCAGAAACTTCAACATTTTTAATTTAAAATTTTTTAATTTTTAATTTTTAATTTTTTAATTTTTAATTTTTTAATCAATTGATTTTATTATAATTTTGCAATTATTTTATCTATTATGTTTAATTTTTCAATTTATTAATGAATTGCCTCTAATTTAATGTAATGTTGACTTAAATTACTTTTCCCGTATCGCCGCTCCAAAAATACGACTAGCCGAATATGTGTCGATATTGTCGACCCGCGCGCAGCAACATACTTTTTTTTCTATCTATGTACCTATGTAATTAATATTATTATTTTAAATATTACAATTAAAATAATTAAATAATTATTCTTACAAATTATGAATTACCCACCCAACAGTAGAAACTACAGTCAATAAAATTATGATAATTAAAAATATACTCAAAAAGAGTTAAAATAATTGTATATTAATTTTACATATATTTTATACTCTGTATATACAACGGAAAATATTTTATAATAAATATTATTATTAATATTAGTAACTGAATTATATTATATAGTAATAAACTTTATTTATAGAATACGTCATGGCTAGGTTAGGTTAGGTTATAATAATTTACATACAAAAAGTAATGATATCCCACCAAAAACATATATGTAAAATGAGAGCCAAGTTCAATACTATAATATATGCCTTGGTTGTTGACTTCAACGACAAAAGAAGTGAGATCTAAATGGGTGCCAAGTTAGGATAATATATTGAAGCCTAAGGTCTGACTTGGCTACGAATTATATATTATAGCATTTGCAAGTTCTAAAGCTTTGAGTTCTTATTTTATTCTTCGGAAAATCATCTTCACTCTTCCATTACTGTTTTAGTAAGTACTTATAATAATAATTCGTATATGAAAAGTAGCCAAGTCACACCTTAGGCTTCAATATATTATCCTAACTTGGCACCCATTTAGATCTCACTTCTTTTGTCGTTGAAGTCAACAACCAAGGCATATATTATAGTATTGAACTTGGCTCTCATTTTACATATATGTTTTTGGTGGGATATAACTTACCCTACCAATAATATCACTATATAAAATAATTAAAAGTGATAATTTGAAGACAATTTCTTAAAACCCTAGAATATTTTTTTAATTTAGTGTCTAAACCATATAGTTTAGCACCCAAGCAAATTTTTCAATTTTTTTTTTTTGGAAACCTATGATTTACAACCAGTTATAAGATTTATGATGCAAAAATTAACTCAAGGAAATCATAAGTTGTTATCGCATAGCCTTACGAAGTTCACGATTTTCGGTTTTTTACGCGACCGTACAACGCTTAAAGTTTACCGAGCTTAAGTGGGCATAACAAATAACAATTTTTTAACCTAGTTAAATCAACGTCTTCAGAATGATGGTGCAAAAATAATTCATGACAAGTTGTACATAACAAGTCGAGGGATGTTTTTAATTATAATTGTCCGAGTGAGCACAGCGTGGAAGTGAATACGCCGGGTAGGTATATAAGAGATAACCAAAAATTTCAATTACCTAGCTATAACTTTAAAATAAACTTCCCTATCATTTTCAATTAAAAACTAATGATTTTCGGCAATTAATTTTTGCAATATCTTTCTCAGTTCGTTTTAGCTTCGTGGGTCTAGAATGAAAAGGTTCTAAATCGTTTTTATGAAATTGTCCAGGAGAGCAATTTTAAGGTTTGAGTTAAAATATCTTATTTCTTGAAATCATTTTGTTTAAATTAATGTTCTAAGGCATGTAGCAACTTGTATAGTTTAATTCACATCATTATAATAATAATTTGCTGTATTGGTTGGTATTAAAATTAATAAAATACATATTATTATAAATTGGTTCTACAATTAGGAACTTTTAAACCTAAAATGAAAAGAAATATATTCATCAATTAGAACTTTTTCATTC